GGAAATTCAAGCAACCAGCAGCATATATAAACTCTCTAACTGCACATGTCTGCAGTAGTTGAGGGGTCCTGCTAATAAAAACTGTGTATTTATCTACAGTGCGTCACAAGTGCATGTGTGTGTGTGGTGTGTGTGTGTGCGCTCACTTTTCTGTGAAGTGCGTGGAACGTGGAGATAACTGTAGAAACCAGTGTAAACCCTCAGCTGGCTCTCAGTCACACTGTACTCCTTCAGGTATCCATTGAGGGAGAAAGACGCCGTCCAGTCCAGCCAGATCACGGTCAGGTTACTGCCCACTGAGAACGGGGACACATACTGGGGGGCTGAAGAGGGGGAAGAGAGGGGGAGAAATGACACTTTGGATGTGTTTTTATAATAGAACTGGTCAGCTATGGTGGCTGAGAGACTGACTGTGTTTGATACCTTCACTCAGTGTGGTAACAGTAGTCCAGTTGGAGGCAGTGCTGCCCATGTTATTGAGGCAGGCAGCTCTTAGCTCGTAGGTGGAGTACGGCTGGAGACCTGCACAGTTAAGTTGTGTTTAGTCACACAAAACACAGACTGACAACAGTTATTGGCTGTTATTTTACTCCCATGAAGGCTTGCAGGTTATCTCAGCTGAGTTCAATTTTTTCCGTCACCTGGTTTTTGTAGGGTAGATTAGGTTTTTATATTCTACTGCTGGTATGAGGACTTCCTGCACTCTTTATTAGTAACAGGTCACTCATCGCTGAGGAATCTGAACTTTAGAAAACTGTTCTAGTGCTCTTTTTTTTAAAAATGTGAAGTACATCCAGACACAGAATGCATTTTAAGATTACAGTCGTCCTCAAATGTATTCATACCCTCCCATTAAAGAAGGAAGAAAACAGCTGTCACTGAAATGAGTTGAAATTGACAAAAGTGATAATAAATAAAAAAAATAATGAAAATCATGACATTGCTTTTGAATTGCTGTTCAACAGAAATATTAAAAAACAAACAAAAAACAACAAAAAAGAAGCAAACAAGCATGATGGGACCCGTAAACTAATATCTTGTTGAACAACCCTTTGAGCCAATCACTGCAATCAGGTGTTTTCTGTAATTCTCAATCAGACTTCTGCATCTGTTGACAGGTGTTTGGATTTTGGCCCACTGCTCATCAGCAAAGTGCTCTAATTTGTCCAGGACAGTTTTGTTTGTTTTTTTAAATTTTTCTTTTCAACCACAATTCAAAAGCAATGTCTTATTTCACTAAATTATAATTTAGCAAATTTTTCTTTATTATTACTTTTTTCAGTTTCTAGTTATTTGAGTGACTATTGTGAATTTTGCCTTTTCTTTAATAGAAGGACGACTGTATGTGTAGTTGATAAATCCGTGAAATCACCTGTAACATTGTAGCTCCGCTTTTTGCCAAAGAAACAGATTTCTGCCGGTCCTTCAGAGCAGGGGAGGGCTACAGGCTGGGGGGGCTGCGGGCAGGGCGACCTGAGATGTAGCTCACAGCTGGATTCAGAGAGTAAGTGAGAGTGAGATTATGGTGTATGTTTCATGCAATGTGCACTTTTCAAGATTTCTCCTCACCTCTCGATGACTCCATTAGGGGCCAAGGGCTCATCCCATTCCAGCTGAACGGAGCGGGATGTGAGGGTGACGGGGCGAGGGGGAGGCTGGTGGGCTGGAGGGGCAGCCAGGGTGTGAAGCTCGCTCAGTGGACCCTGGCTGCAGCACTGCAAATGTTCAGAGACTCATAAGATGGCTTAGTACACAAATATGATGTCCGGGTAAAACTTGCAATTAATAAAATAATTCTCAGTGGTGGAACAAATACCTCTACTGGAAGAAATCCCACTGTTTAGTCAAGAAATGTGTTGATAAAAAATCCTCATAATAAATACATCCAACCAGTTTGTGTGTATTGGTTTACTGGGTAACACTTTATAATAACTATCCGTTATAACTAGTTAATAGATCATTTGTTAACTGTTAATTAGTGAGTTATTAACCACTTGTTAAGTGTTAGTTTGTTGATGATTTATAACGATGCCGTATAGATAGTTAATAAACCATTTACAAACTGTTAGTTAATGAGTTATAAATGACTTGTTAACTGTGTATTAATGATTTACAGCCATACCTTATAAACCAGTCATAGATCATGAACAAGGCATTAGTGAATTACTTACTAATGACTTGTTAAGTATCAGTTAATAGTTTATATATGTTATTGGGACGTTATTCTAAAGTTGCAACTATTCCTCATTTATTCCTCATACATAGTTATTATAAAGTGTTACCGTTTACTGTACTAATTTGGAAACACACCAGTCTTTCATGACCAGGTAGAGCTGTATGCACCTACACAATATTTTGCACGCCCAACATTTACTGTAGTACTATTACCTGATAACAAGTGCAGGCCTCTACTCCTACCCAGTACCGGGTGTAAGGACGTAAACCATGAAGCCTCTGCTGATGCGATGTCCCCTCTGAGAGCTACAGGAAGACGACAGTGTGGAGTGAGAGATATGTTATAGTGGTCTAATTACCAGTAGTTGGTACAGAGGAAATGCAAAAGAGGAGTTGTAGAAAAAGAAGGGCAGGACAGACAGAACCGAAACCCAACCAAGAAATGCAGTCCAAGTCATAACAACATGCATTTATAAAAGCAGTGGTAGGTTTACCAGAGTGTGGTTGCTGTGTTCCAGTGAGAACACTCTGTAAAGACTAACAATCCCATTGGGTCGGGCTGGAGGACGGATGTTCACCACCGCTGAGGTCGCTGACACATGCAGGAACACAGGCAAGCCTACACCCTCTGGTGGAGCAGGCCCCGTTCTCCCACCGACCCACGGGCTGGCAGAACGACCCGCCGAATTCACCGCCCACACCTGTCGGTCCAAACCACGCATTAGTCAATAATGAGAAAATTTTGCATGTGTAACACGAAACGCAAAGTGGGATGCAAACTTTTTGCTTCCATCGTCAGGATTTTTGATGCATTTTATGAACTCTTAATGATGAAGGCTTCTCTTAATTACCCAGTGTCTACCAGACCAACAGACGGGTGTAAGTCAATTCACTGGACCATCCATCAAAACTACCATCAGCAGTGAGAGCAAAACCTTTTCACCATGCAACCCAACACTAACATATCTGCATGACAATTACTTTTCACCTTCATCAAGGAGTTACTCTCACACACACACGCGCGCACACACACACACACACAGTAATCTTATTTGTGTGCTTGTGTTGGGTATAATTAGAGGGTGTACACAGCACAGGGTCAGGCAGGGTGGAGATTTGCATGTGTAAGTCATCTGTAGCCTGTCAGAAGTAGTGCAGAAGGCAGATGGATGGGTCTGAGCTTTGGTGTTCAAAGTGTGTGTCTGTGTGTGCGGTTTGTTGTTTGTGGCTACGATTGTGAGATTTGTGCATGTACGCGTGTGCATGCAAGTGTGTTAAGAGTTGAATTAACCTCAATAATAGTCAATTAGGCCGTGATCAATCAGACTGATTGATCTAAGTGACAGCACAGATGGACTGAGATGGGAGAGGGGAGAGAAGAATGGAGGATGGAGAGACTGAGGATCGGGAGGAGGAAGACAGGACGAGGGGTGGACAAGACAAGAGGGCAAGAAACAGGAAACCGAGCAGGAGGAAATGTTGAACTTGGTGCATTTTGTGGCAAAAATCTAAATGAGTCTGCTCAAATAAAGATAAGTTCAGTTCTGCAGATAAGATTACATTGAAGCTATTCCTGTTTCTGGCAACAGACAAACCATCATCTAACATGTTTTTTTAGTTTTAGTTGGTGGTTTTGTACACAGACATCCCCAATATAACAAAACCTTTCACGTGGCAGTAAATTCTTAGCAGTAATGCCAATAAACACACCCCTCAGGTGAGATACTTAACACACACGTTCAAGTACACCTGGTATTGGATTGTCAGTGACTTTACTATATCAAGTCCCCTCAGATGACTTGCTGTATGTTGTGAAATGATGCTATATAAATAAAACTGAACTGAATAGAATTAAATATATCATATATCCTACATAGCTCCATAAAGACATACAACCTTTAGGAAATGATCAGCTCTACTAGGACATTTCTTGTCTCTCAGCATTTCTAGCTGTCACATCATTGTGCATGTGTAAATACATGCAGATATGACGAACTGAATGCTTTAAATAAATAAATTCACATGGAAACTATCTACTAAAAGTCACTAAGGTTTTAATTTAACTACACAGTCATCATTGTCATCTCACATTACTCAAAATAATTTTTTTGGGGGGTACTACAATACAGAGTTACTGAAAAACAACAAAGGACAAATACCAAACATCGTGTGTTTAGGACTCATGATTTTGTATCTGCAGTTTCTCCACAAAGAAACCAAATTCGACTCGCACAACAGCCCCATGAAACTGTCCGCTGATGAGGAGGAGCTGATGTGATCGGCCCATAACATGTTCCAGCTCAAACTCACACCAGCAGATACTGGTCCTCCTAACATGTATTCATCCTGTTTCATTCTCTTTTCATCTATCTTTCACATATGACACAGATTTTTTGCTGCACTTGTTTCCACCTAAAATATGAGTGAAATTGCCAAAATTGTCGGCACATCCATAGTGATAGAAGCTCTCTGCTGGAACAATGCAATGGTCGGTATTGGTGTGGGGGGTCTTAGACACATTATAGGAAACTCTTATTTAGGATGGATGCTTGCATGTGTTTCACTCAACAATTAAATATGTTGCTAGAGGTGAGGCAAAAGTGAAACATCAATACAGTTATTGCAGAACAAACTACTCACTAAAAATAAATTCGAGGAGAATTTAACAAAAGTTAGATTAAACAACAAACTGAAGAGAAAAGCAGAAAAAAAAGAAACTCAAAAGAGTGCACCAGTATGTACTGTATATGAATGTCAGGTTTCGTGACTTCACTGTGTTGCAGTAAGTCCACACACTCTGAGCGTTTATGTATGGATTGTTTTTAAGGCCAGTGATGAAGAAAAGGGAGCAGCAGGAGGGATGGAAGGAGGAGGGCATGCCGTCGGATAAATGTGGCACATTTAAATCATAATGATGTCAATTAATTAAAGTTGATCCTGCTTACAAATCAATCAATGAATGTAAATACCATTAGCATAATTGGGATACCACACAGAGGGGATTTTAGCTCACAACTAACTGGGTTTTCATTTCACACAGTGGCAACAACCTGCGATTAACAGCAAACTATTACTAATATTGTAATCGCAAGACCATATAGATGAAACAGTGGGAGCGTAGAAAGTGTCTAATTAAATAGTTAAAGTATGACAACATCAGCAGAGAGAAAAAGTTCTCCACCACATGTGTTGCTCCTGCACAGAAACAGTGACGTGACTTGTTGCTTAAAACCGTTTTCATTACATTTGCTTCTGCCGTCCAACAAAATTTAACCGCAGCAATAAAACGTTTCTACCCAGCAACAAGCGTGTTCTTCCTCCCGCTAGCAACACAGTTAAAGCCTCAACGTGACGCAAGATTTTGGGTTTGATTAGGAAGTTTGTGCCACATAGACGCAACACAGAAAAGTTCAAAATTAAAGTCAGTCCAGATCACCTTGCCCTTGATCTGGTGCTAAAAGGTAGTACTCAGCTCGTCGTCCTTATATCATCCACAGACTTTTACTGCTTTCTCTCCCGTCTTGTCCTCTCTCCTCCTATTGGGCCATGATTTGGCTTATTAGACACAAAATAAAAATATACCCCGTTAGCTGCCATGGCAGCAAATGAGCCGCCATGGCAACAAACGACTTCAGGAAACTTCCAGATAGTATTCAAGCCTTTTTATTGGATCGTTGGACTGCAGACTCGATTTGAGTGCTCTGATAGGCCAACACGGCGACTTGGCGGGTGCATCTACTTGGGGTGAAGGGGCTAAGTTGTGTGAAAGTGGGCAGTAATTAAAACCAAGCATAAAGCTGTCAATAGGAGCTTATGACCCAGTGTAATTAGCCTAATATGATTTCTCTCTCTCTCTCTCGTGCTGTGGTGGGCTAAACCGAACCGACTCGTCCTTGTGTACGCCTGAAACACACACAGAGAAAGAATAAGGGCCAGATAGCAACACAGACAGATTAACAGCTAAATAAAAGTAAAGTCAGGCAAATAGACAGAAAGACAAAAGGGGAAGGCAGGTGGGGAAGTGGACAGACTGACACGTCAACACACAGGCCGACTGGGAAAACATCACTTAGTGATTGAAAACTGCGAAAAGAGAGAATAACTTCAAATGAAATATCCATTAGTGTGTACAGTTTCTTTGCTTCTCTGCCTCTGACACGCACTCACTCGCACATGTTTACAAGCACACACAAACATGTAGACTGCGTACACGTGTTCATGGCCAACAAACACATACCACCACCTTGTCCACGTACCCCCAGTCCCCCACTGACAAATCCTCAGGGGACGTGTAGCGGTCACCATTAAAAGGTCTTTCCAATACAAGCTCTGTTACCAAGGAGTCTAACAGTTAATTCGATTGGCTGGCTGGTAATCAGGAAGTGGGGTGCTCAGAGGGCCCAGTGATTAATGGCTCTGTTGCCCGCTCGTCATCTCCCAAAGCCCCTCCCTCCCTCCCTCCTCATGTCATAAATTAGGACCCTCGTAAATAAAGACGGCACCACAATCAGGCAAACTCAATCAATTACACCGGTTCTCTGGCCTCAGCTCATATGTCTGACAGGCAGGAATGCTAATGTTATTGTTGCTTCCAAAGGGCTAACCTGTCAATTAGTGTACCAATGCACAAGCACAACAGCATGAATATGGACCGCTCCATTTAACACCTGTCTGATTACTCGGCTTGTGTGTTTGTGTGTCTGGGATCGTTGATGTGTATGGATGCCGTATTAGTTGATGCATGAGCATGATCTGCTCGTCTGTGTGTATATATTTGAGTGTGTGACTAGACTTTTAGAAAACATCTCATTGTGAAATCAGGCTACATCTTCCAATGCGTCAGCCACCCCGGTCTAATCTGCAAATGAGGTTCACAATAAAACATTTAACTCTGTTCCCGTGTCCAGTGCAGAGGACAAAAAGCAAAGAACATTTCCGCTGCAGTGAGAATATATGTTGCACTATATTGTTGAAGACTACTTTTTCTGTTATGTTTGTTCAACAGTTTTGGTGTTTTTGTATTTTTTTTTTACTTACTCTCGACCAAAAAAAAACAAAAAAACATCTTGCTAGTTTATTTTAAGTCTCAACTTGCTCACACTCTGTTGCGTCTTGGCAATTTAAATCTAAGTGCACATAGCGTTATACCTGGTACTGGTATCCAGTGTATGGCAGGAGTCCGTTGTCTTTGCACTGAGTGGAGACATTCCTGTAGACAACTGTTGCTGCCCCACTTCTGTGGGTACCAGTGGTAGAGTCCAGCCTGCGGTACACCTCATAATGCAGGATTTTACCATTTGGCTGAGCTGGAGGGGACCAGGTGAGCAGAAAGCTGGTCTGTAGGCTGGTGTGCGTGTCGGGTTGGAGGTCCAACAGTGGCGCCGTCTGTCCAGCAGGGGGAGCCTCCAGCGTGAGTATAGATGACCAGTCGCTGGATGAACAGCCAAGCGCTGTGCAAGCCTCCACCCTCACCTCATACCTGCACAAACGCATAAACAACCACTTATAAGGTAGAAATGTTGGTGAAAAATGTCTCTTTACTCATACAAATACTTTAAACAAGTTTAAAATTCCCAGACCGTGATACCAGTGTATTGTGACTGTAGCTTGAACGAAACCTAAATCAAAAAAAATCGACCACATATTGCATAAATCAGTTTGACTTTAATGTTTATGGAGACTGCTTTCTTTTGAATTTCAG